TGGTTGAATCAATCCATTCTGAGGACTTCATCTCATATTTCTAAGAATTATTTAGAATAACGCATGTAAAATATATAAATATGTTAAATTATTACTATTTTTACAAATTTTGTAAATTAATATATTTTCAATTTAAATTGTGAACCAAAAATTATTTATTTAAAATTTACAATAAGAATAATTCAGAATTTTTGAAAATTTAAAAAAAGATATATTTTAAAATTTATTGAAATTGAATTATTTTCGATGCAAAAAAATTAAATTTCTTAAGGCAGTAATTTTTTTTTTCTTAGATTTAAATTTTTGTTAATTGCTTTCCATTTTTTTTTTGAGATTTTGAAATTATAAAAAAATCAAACATTTGAAATTTTTGGGAAATTTTTAAATTTTTAAACCCCATTTTAAACCCCAGAACTTTTATTTTTTCATACCGTTATCGCAAACAAAATGTTTTCAAATCACTCAAGATTCTTACTGTGGAGAACATCAAGAACGTTTGTTTGGATTTTATAAGGAACTTTATACATTAAAAATTTCTAAATATTATTTAATTATAATAGACCAGGCTATTCTAATGTTACTTAACAAAAAACATCAAAATTCTAAATTTCAATAAAAACAAAACATATGTAATATATTACACTTTATGCATATATTTCTTTAATTGCATAAATACCGTAAATATGATATTTTTTGTCCTAACTAGCCAATTTATAGTTGTCGACTCAAACATGATTTAATAAAAAAAATGTTTTATAATTATTTATATAATTCATGATTTTATATCGAGAACCAACTGTAAGTTTTAGAGTAAATCAGTTGTCTTTGAGTAATTTTAAGAAATGCATAAACAACATGCTAGTTTAATAGCACGTAACAGAAAATATCTGAATTTCACATTTCACTAAAAATTAAACCTTCCGCAATACATCACACTTTTGACGTATGCTCGAATATTACAAAACCTTTTTTTACCCAAAAAAAATTCATTTCCGCGGAAGTGACCTAATATATCTCTCATTTAATTCACAAATCCGTGTCTTTGTTCCTCTCGGTGATTTATTCATTAAAATCTCCGTCGGGCGTTATACGGCTGCTAACGGGCCGTTACAACCCGTTTATTTTAATTAGATAAAATTGTATGAAGTTAATTCTCGACGTTGGCACGATAGTTAAATCTAACTAGACAGGAGATGAAACAGACGGAAGGACAAACATAAATTATAATCTGATAGTGTTAATCAGTTGTTATAGTATAGAAACAGGATTTATCTTGTTTTGTTGCAGGTTAATATAGAATGTCATATGGTATAATATCAACTTAATATTTACATACCAAGATTTGCTCACGTAACCCCTTTAGTTGGTATTTGAAACTATTTTGTATTAACTTCCCGTAGGGCAATTTATAGTAATCGCAAAAAAATCGAAAATGAAAATTTTGCTATATCTTTACGTTTCAGGCGTTTCTGAACATTTCGGCATACCTTAGAAAAAATTAATGAATGTGTGCTTTATTAACTTTCCGTAGGGTGTCATAGTAATCGCAAAAAAATCGAAATTTAAAATTTTTGCATATTTTATGTTTCAGAGGTTTCTGAACAATTTGGCATACCTTAGAAAAAATTGATGTATGTGTGTTTTTTAACTTCCCGTAGGATATGTTATAGTAATCGCAAAAAAATCGAAAATAAAAACTTTTGCATATCTTTACGTTTCAGAGGTTTTTGAACATTTTGGCATACCTCAGGAAAAATGGGTGTATGTGTGGTGTATGTGTGTGTGGAATATGTATGTATGTTTGAATATAATTTCTTGTCCACAGTTTCAATTCAATTTGGATACAATTTTTTGTCCACAAATCAAGCGATTTCAATGGTTCAAAAAACATTCGTTTCCTATTGATAGGGAGATGTGCCAATTAGTTTTTGGCAAAGGCAGGTTTAGCCGTTACAGAGATATATGCAAAAAGTGCCAAAAACTGTAATTCAGTTTTTGACAGAACGGAGTACTCGATTTGAATGATTCAAAAAACATTCTACTTGTAGTAACGAAATGAATAATTGATGAAATTTTTAGAAAGGCAGGTCTATCGGTTTTGGAGATAGAGAGGAAAAAGTAAAAAAAAAAAGATATTTTGCGGTCAAAAATAATCATTAAACATAAATTCATCAAATTATCAGATATTTTAAAACTATTTTAAAAATGAGTACTGACTCTGTTGTAATTTTTTTGGGTTCGGTATCAAGATTTTTAATTTTGAAAGTTTACTTGTACGGTTCAAACAAAGTTTTCAAAATTCTCAAAAATATACAAAATTTTATACTTCAAATATAAAATTTAATTTTACAATTCATTTTTAAACTGTATATATTTTATATGCGTTATTCTAATCATAAGGAATATATCCTCAGGTGGATTCATTCATTATATCTTCTGAATGTAAATGTTTTTAAGTGTTTTGTGCGATAAGATCGTTGCTGTATAGTATATAAGCAATAAAATATATAGTATTTATAATTATTTATTTGAAAATATTCATAACAATTACGTATTTAATTCTGGTACGGGCAGTTCCAGAAATTTGCCTTATGGCATGATGATATGCACCACTAACTCTAATAATAATTTATTTATCACATAACGTTATTAGCTATATTTGAAAAAAATAGCTTAATTTTAATTTGTCAAAAATACTCTTTTAAACTATCACTATCTTTTTCTGATTCATAACTAATGCAATTGTTTGACTATGAATTGTTATTTATAATATCTTCGTACACTTGTTGTATCTGTATGAACACAATAATTAAATCGAATGTAAATCAAAGATCAATTTAACGAAATAAATCGAAATTTTCAGAAACCTTGACCACTGTCACTTTACAGTATTTTGTTTTCTAAAATTAACTAACTGTCAAAATTGATTGAAATTTCTAAAATGCAAGACTGTGATTTTTATCTTGCCTATAATCTAATCAGGTTATAAGTGCACATAGCGCTCTAATCAAAATCAAAATCGGTTCAGTAGTTTATGAATCTATTACGGACCAACATCGTGACTCAATAGATTCTTCTCTAGATTAGAATGTCCGATTGCAAATCCGTCCTACATGCTGGTTAAAAATATGTCTTTTTTTCAAAATACTGTCTACTTCTTAATGAATTTCAGTTTAGACAAAGGTCGAAAGTTCCTTGTCATCGAATAATAATAGACACTTCGTATTACAATTTCTGAAATATCCCGTCTAGACGCATCTCGAATGAACAGAGGCTAAAATTTTACGAGCAAACACTTCGTTAGCTTCAAATCTTCTCTTCTCTTGAGAGTTTGCCTTTACTTTGTATATAAATCATATTTATAATTATATATGTGCAACCGTTTGATTATATTCTTTGATATCCAGAAGGAAAAACAGAGAAAAAATAGATTAAAGAGACAATTATGTATTGGTGTTTTTAAAATGATGTACACATTTTTATAAAAAGTGGAAAATATAAATAACAGAATGAAATATACACAGTTGTTCAATTGACTATAATCTAGAAAAATAGTTTATTAATAACTATTCCTAATTACAATTTACCACTGATTTACCGTTTTTGGCATTTTTTACCTATCTTATCTGCGAAACGGCTAGACTTGCCCTCGCCAAAAACCAATCAGCACGTCTCCTTATCAACACCAATCTAATGTTTTTTGAATTATTCAAATCGGATGATCGGTGTTCCCGAAATCGTCGACGAAAATTTGTGCCCCCGCACACACACATACATCAATTTTGTCTAAGGTATGCCAAAATGTTCAGAAACTTCTGAAACGTAAAGAAATATAAAAATTTTAATTTTCGATTTTTTTGCGATTACTATAACTAGCCCTACGGGAAGTTAAAAATTATTTTATTTAATAAAATTAAATATTGATACACTTTGAATAACATTAGATAAATTGAAGAATTAGTTTATTTTCTACAAGATTTTTTATAAATAAAGAGTCGATAATTTGAGAATGTGTTTTATGAATTTATGAGGAATTTAGGTGTAAGTGGCATTTTGCTTTGAGGCAAGTTGTATAAACATCCCGATATTTTTGAACAATCGATTTAATTAACTCTAATTTGAGTTTCATATGATCTACCTTAATACCTGTCTACTAATCTACCTGTCCACTTGTCCACCTGTCGACTTGTCTACCTCTCCACCTGTTTACCTGTCTATTTGCCTAATTACAAACCTTACAATTTTTTTACTTATTTACCTGTTTACCTGTATGATTATCCCTCTGTTCATCAACCTGTCTAGCTTTTTAAATTCCTAAGTATCCATTGATTTACCTGCCTACCAGTCTGTTTCTCTGCCCATATACCTACTTCTTTACATTTACCTATCTACCTATCTATCTACCCGTCTACTTGCTTATCTGTCCACATGGTTAAATTTTAAAAAATCTTTTTTTTTACCTGTCTACCTATCAAAATTATTTTATTTTGCAAATAAAATAAACACAATTCTTCCTCCTTAACTGTACCACTCTCTCTCTACTTTTTATCAATGATTTTCGATTCTTGAAAGATATTTCCAATAATCAAAACGATAAAAATTCTATCAACAAACATTCCTTTATCAAGACCAATCAATTATTCTCGGAATAACTCAATTATTTGAAAACAAGGCAGACAGAAACATACACAAAGTCTGATGATATCGAAGTGAGATTCGAAATTCTGTCATTATTTGGCTGCCAGTCTGAAGCTGGATGTTATTTCAAGCTATTATACATATAGATAATTGAATTAAAATCAGTCCGACGATTCGGTAAACAAAACTAGATGCGAACATGATATTTCGTTCAGATGTGAAGATGGTGATGGAATTCTGAATCGATTTTTTGTATTAAATTTCTTAGTATGGATGTGGGTTTTGTTGATTTGATGCTGATGTGTGTAATGTGTAGTAGTAGACAAATTGTATTTATATATTATAATTGCATTTTTTTTCAGGTCGTCGAAGAACGAGATCCCACAACTCAACAACCATCATTACAGCCAGCAAACACCATTCCACAAAATCAAGACACCATCCACATTCTACGAGAAGTCCCTTATTCGAAAATCAATTACTACAAACTCTGGAGCAAAAAGCCCTTGCCACAAACCAGAAGAAAAACAAGACATCAAATCAGCACCATAGCAAACACCATCACAAAAATGGTAAACATAAATCACCCGAGATGGAACTCGAAGAAATTTCGAGAAAACTGGACAAAGTTCCTCGAAAATACCAAAATTTGGAAATCATCAACATAAACCAGGGTGAACTCCAAAAGTCTTCAGATAATTTAGATAAACTGGTAAAACATCAACACGTTGATGTCAGTCTGATTCCCAGTGAACAGGATTTTGATCAGCTGTTTGTGAATAATAATAAGACTGTTTTTGGAGATGGGAAAAATGGTGAATTTGTTAGTGTGAATAAGTTTGGGAAAAGTGCCAGTGCTAATTCGGTTTTGGAAAGAATCGAACAGGAGAGAAAAATTAAAGAAAATATGTTTGTGAGTGAGAATTGCACGGTGGTTTTGGCGCAAACTGGATCCACTGCGCAAATTCACTGTGAGGTGAACGATGTTGGAGAAAATACTGTGAGTAATTTTTTATGCAATATTTATACATATATATATATATATATATATATATATATATATATATATATAATATACAGGTTGTCAAATATCTCCCTTCCGCTTTTTTGCTCTTGGTTTATAATACAAAAAGGCGGAAGGGAGATATTTGACAACCTTACCTAACCTTATATATACATAACTATATTTGTGGAAAGTACGAGAGAGTGGAAAATTTTACAGCTTTGCTATAAATTTATACAATACCTAGTTTCATCTTAAAAGCTGTTGTCTCTTTAGATTTTAGTATTAAATTTCACTATTTTTTTGGATCGAGGATTTACCCTTGATAAAAATAAATTGTTTTTTTTAAGTAAAATTTATTTTACCATAAAATCTGGAAATATAATTCAAAATTCCGTAAAAAATACTCACTGACAGAAAGCTTGGAGAAAAATTATTCGATTACTAAAATATCTATTACGAAATAAAGATTGGTGAAAAGAGGGTGAAAATTTAGAATTGTATGCATTTTTTAAAGTTAAAAGTCAAAATTAAAAGAAAATGTATTCCAGAATTTAATAAAGTGTTAGCGTTGGACAACTCTCAATAATTTTTTTTTAAACCTTCAAGCATTTTCATAAATTCAAAAGAATCTCAACTGAAATTAAATCACATAATAGGTCAATTTACAATTAAAAAAAACTTGATTCCAAAATTTAAAAAAATAGGAGTGAAAAGCTCTTGGTAAAAATTAAAAGGCTGTTTTATGTAAAAGATGTTCTATGTTTTTTTTCAATTTTAAATTATAGAAAATTGAAATGAAAAAAATAGTCTCAAAATTTGAAAAATAGACAATTCTCGATAAAAATAAATATTTAAAAGTATTTTAAAAACAAAAGTGTTGTACTTTGCCAATCCCGTATTAAAAAAAATAAAATAAAAATAGTTGACCTCGAACTTAAAACTAGTGGGGTGTGTGGCATCGTGCCTTAAGGCAAATTGCTGGAACTTCCCGTACCGTAACGAAATGTTCGAAGAATACTGAATGTTTTCAAATAGATTATTATAAATATTGTAACATTGTCTAATATTTATAAGAATTGTATAAACTGAATTGCAAAGTTGAAATTATTTGTAAAGTATATTAGAACTATAGTCAAAATTAAAAATTAAATCTGAATTATTTTCGATATACAAAAAATTAAAAAAAAAATGAAACAAATTTTTTTTCCAAAACCAATTATTTTGTTAAGGCAAGCAGAAAGTTCTTTGAATCAATTAAATCGGACGCTTAGTTCTCTCAAAAACTGCCATTTTTTGTACATTTAGCTCCGTATCTTCAAAATGGCTGGGCCTGCCTTTGCGAAAAACTAATAACCACTTCTCCCAATCATTACTAATTGAATGTATTTAAGATCATTCAAATCGGATGCTCCGTTCTCTCACAAACTCGATTTCTATTTCCTGCACTCTTTGCTCTTTCTCTCCATAACTGCTGGACCTGCCTTTGCCAAAAACTAATCAGCACATCTCTGTATTTCGATTTTTGGACGAATACAATAACTTACCCTACTGGAAGTTAAAACTGTCTTCTTTGTAGTAGCACACGTTTAAACTGATTAATAAAATAGCCAATTTTTAAATATGGTCACTGTGTCGTTTTTTCCGTATTTCTCCTAATATATGTAATGTTCATAATTGAAGCTCTGTGCAAAAAAGTGACATATAAAATATTTTCAGTTAACAAAAGAACGTGAATAACTTCAATCACAAATTCTTCTAAAATTAATTAGACAGCGAAAACTTTTCAAAATATAATGTAATGATCAGGCAATAACGAATATGATCTGAGCAAGAGCAAGAAATTTGAATTCCGATATAAAAATTCATATGTTAGTGGAGAATTCCTGCATAGTTCTCTATTTCTAGAATACTGGCGAACGAACGAACGGAACGAACGCACGTACTCATGAATTTCATTAATGGTTCTCATACGAGAAGCCACATATGCGATCGTTAATTCAAATTAGCGTAGTGCTAGTAAAAAATAATATCTATTAAGATAAATGTCATAGTTCATGAAATTTTTATTGCTGAAAAAATAGAATTTTAATCGTTATCAAAGGCCGAATACTGTTCAATTTATAAATGTTTTTAAATAAATGAATTGTTACTTTTTTATTGTTGAAATAGCACAAGACAAGCTTTCTGTCGAAAATACTGTAACTTTAAAATTATGTCCACAAAGTGCCAAAAAAGTTAGATAAATGTTTTTTTTAATATTTACATTCCTCAGGGTGAGTATAGTAACTTGAAAAAATCGTCAATGAAAAATTTCCTATTAGTTTTTTTTTCACAGATTTTTGAAAATTCTAGAGTACCTTAGAAAAAATAAATGTATATCTTTGTGTATGTATTTATGTTCGGGTACAACATAATCGGATTAACTGATTTTAATGATTCAAAAACGATTGATTCATATTGATGCAGATTCAAATTTATAAGGATCAATGAATGAATATAAAGATAATTATTGTCCACGACATTTGCGAAATATGGGACAACTGATTTGTAAGATTCAAAAAATATTTGGTCCGCATTGGCAAACAGAGTAGTTTTTGCAAAAGGCAGGTCTAGCTATTGCGGAGTTATGGTTATGAAAAATCATTCAAATAACTTGTATAATTGGTGAATGAAAAAAACTCGAACCTTGCAAAAAAGCACATTTTTGATTTTTGTTTTTCAAAATCTTACATTTTCAAAAAATTCCAGAAGTTGGAAAAAATCGATTAAATTAAATTATTTCAAAATTTTTAAAAGATATAAAAAAATTTAAAATTACGTTATTTCAAAAAATATTTTTTCTTCAAAAATTTCAAAGTTATCAAAAAGTCGTTTTTTTTTTAAATTCCAAGAAATTTTACAATGAAATTCATAAACATCAAATGATCATCATAAAAATGATGAAATTTTTGGTATTCATAGTATAAATTTAATTATTTTTGAATCAATTGTTATTAATTATTCATTGGCCAGTTTTTATTCATTATTGATTATTAACTTTTCATATGAAAAGTTACAATGAACGGTCAAAAATAAAAAATGAAATTTTTTGCATTTTTTCACGTTTCAGCAAAAAATACCACGAAAAATTACCAGGTCACCTAAACAAATATTTAAATGAATTAAGCGAGGAATCTCCTACTCGAAGAATGAAAAATAATGGACCTACGATCTTAAATAAAATGTCAAAAAATAAAACAAGAGGGATATCTCATAGGAGATAATCTCTTGAATGAATTTACACCCAGCATATTATCTTAAAAAATGTATATTATTTTGATCGGCAATAAATGTAGGCAAATAAAATAAAATAAAAATAAATAAAAAATAAAAAAAATCTTCACGTTTCGAGGTTTTTTGGCATACCTTAGAAAAAATCTATGTGAGGATACAATTGTTCGTCGACGGTTTCGGGCGTACGGAATAACCGATTTTAATGATTTAAAAAGCATTCCATTCCTATTGATAAGGGGACGTGCTGATTAGTTTTGGCAATGACAGATCCATCCGTTTTGTAGATACAAAGTAAAAAGTGCAGAAAATGGCAATCGAGTTTTTTAGAGAATGGAGGCTCCGGTTTGAATAATCCAAAAAAACATTCCGCTTGCATTCTAGCGCAACAGCGAAAAGAAAAAAAAATTCCAAAACAAAATTTTTTTAATATCCAAAATAATTCGGGTTCTAGCTAGAATTTCAACTTTGCAATTCAGAATGTATATTTATTATAAATATTAGACAATGTCCTTCATTTTGAATTTGACTGATTTTTAAACTTTTTTTTCACTTTCTGTAAACATATATAAACGTCGTCGTCTAATTCATAAGCTTTTTATGATTTGCCTCTAAAATTCGAATAATAAAAATTTCTGTGCTTATATTATTTTATTTGAAAACACTCGAATTTTTCAGTGCGAAAGTTTCAGCGATTTGCCTTGGCACAATGTCGTGCACAACTTGTATTCTGTAGTGGTATCCATCCCTTTGTAATAATTATAAATAATATTATAAATTCTATGTAACAGTCAATATGAACAACGCAGTTAGCATGACGCATAGCCCTGCAACAAAGTATGCAAAGATAACACGTACGTGCAAGTCAGAGTAACGGTTTTGTAAGGTTTTGCGTCTCTAAATAAATAGGAATGAATCAATGAACATTTCTAGTAGGATGGTTACGTCATCATCAGAGGTTATAAAAGCTTGAGGATGACGAAACCACCATTCATTCCTAATCTAGTTTCTAATCACTTCAAATCAGTCTTCACTTCAATATATTAATTGTGTATTAAGTTGTAATCAAGTGTAACCGAATAATGAAGTAAATAAAGTTAATAAACGTCTTCAAATGTTTAATTAAATATTTTCACAGTGATAAAGGCTTAATGTTAGCAGCAGAAGAACCTAATTATAAATGTTGACATCGTTGGCGTGACGCAACATAATTGTTGGCAACGGATCCACAACATAATTTGTGGTTAGCTCAAGGGTGCACAACAATTCATATAACATGTAAGATATTGCTCTTATATCACGTGAAGCTTCGTTTGACCTAATGTCGCATACCACCAGTTCAATTACTTATTACATTGATCTCATATACCCATCTCTAAGGTTTTTTTCTACAACTGCTATAATTCTGCATAAACTGTTAGATTTGTGGCTGCGGGCATTGCAGTCACGTAGTCCGACACTAAACGACCAGAGCGCGGGCTAAGTGGCCCGACTGGCACTTCTAGCTCGGTGTAATTACGATTCAAACGTTTGTTTTAATAATAATACTTTGTATGCCTTCTGACCTAAGGATTATGTTGTAGTTAGCGAAATGTTAGAGCGTGTTAAGAATTACAGACGCTATTCTTCTACAACGCGGGTTCCGTTCATCTGGCCCGTCCGCGCCAAATCAAAGCATGCTATATATTGATGCAAACAAAATGCAATCAATTTATTTATTTATTTATTTATTTATTAATTTTACAAGCCGTCGGTATAATATTTAATATTATAATAAGGCTTAAGTCAATATTTTATAGGTTTAATATAATTTAATTAATTATTAGCTATTTAATTACTTAATTTATTTACTATAAACCTATTTATATTTACTTAATTATAATTTTTTTTTTTATTATAACTAGTTTGTTTGTTACAAGTGTTTTTTAAAAATTTAATAAGTAATTTTAATAAGCTTTACAATACATACTTTTACAATATTAACAAATTTTAGGTTATTTTATGATATTTTAACAAATTTAAGTATCTTATATTATTGTAATTATTATTATTATTAATATTATCATTATCATTTTTATTATTATTGTTAAATATTTTTACAATTTTTTTTTCTTTTACAAATTTTTAGGTATTTTGATGAAGGAAATATTTTGTTTCACAATTTTTAAGTGTTTTTAAATATAAGTTTTTGGTTAACTAATTATTAAGTATTTTAACAATAACAGTCAAAATAAAAAAATTAAAATTTTGTTTCACAATTTTAAAGTGTTTTGAATTATAAGTTTTTAGTTAACTAATTATTAAGTATTTTAAAAATAACAGTCTTATGAAAATAATAACTAGAAAAAAAAAAAAAAAAAAAAAAAAATCTCAATTTTTTGTTTTTTAAATTGTAAGTGTTCAATTAAATAATTATTAAGTATTTTAATAATATAACAATAACAGTTATATAAAACAAATAAAAAGAAAAAATAAACAAAGAAAGAAATAATAATAATAATAATAGTAATTTAGAAGTATTTAGTTTAACGAACGAATTATATTGTCACGAGCATAGTAGACATAGACATGGCTGGTAGGTGACATCAGTTAGTTTGGGCCCGTAGTTTCGTAGGGATTTTAAGCAATTCAAAATCATCATAAAAAAGTCAATCATTACGATATTTAAAACCATTGAAATTAATGTAAATAGAATTATAACTTGTGATTAATATGAAATTAACACAAAGTTATAATTAAAGTGTTTCACAACAAATTGGTCCTTCAAAATTCAATCAATCAAACAACAACAACTATTGAAAAAACATGGCCCATAAGTTTTTTTCTGCGCAACTTGTGAAAATAACTATTGTAACTAGGTGTTGTACAATGCTTAAAAAGATAAAGAGGCTTTTAATATAAGATTTATTGTCAGCTTATTTATTACAGCGCGGTTTCTAAATTACACGTTACTACGACTCGGTAAGTATGTATAGGAGGGTTTACTGAACTTGGTGCATGGTGCATCGTGCCTTAAAACAAAAAGCTCCAAAATTTTTGAAAACATTGAAGAAAACTTATTTTTGAGTACTTTAAAAATTTTGAGAAAAATATTTTCATGGAAAATTAGAACTTTGAAACAACAATTTCAAGAAGAAAGAAAAGAAGCTTTTGAAAAATAATATTGAAGATTTTTATCTCTGTCACGTCGTTGTAGAAATGAACAGAATTAACGAATCACTCATTGGAGAGCTTCTTCAACTATTGATACAGTACAATTTATCACAATAATTTATATGTCTGTTTGATAGTTTGTGTGTGAGTGAGTGAAACTAAAAAAATTGATTTTTTTTTCAGACAACATATAATATCAATATTATATAATTTATACGATATTATATAATTTTTCTGAGGTATGCCATAGCCATACTAGTAATAATTTTTTTAAATATCAAATATATTTTTTTGATTATAAATAACACACACATACACTTTTAACCTTCCCAAGAAAAAGTTTATTTTCGCCAAAAATACCGAATTCACCAATTTTATGTTTTCTTCGATGGTTCAAGCCATTCTGAATCGAATAAGACCAAATTTGGAAAAAGTCTGTGTGTGTATGTCGACCGGTTTCTATGCCAATCAAAAGCCAATCTATGGGTCTCGATAAGGACTAGCGTTTGTCAGTTTGGCATGATTGGACAAGCCGTTTCTTTGTAAATAGCATAAAAATTTTTTCACGTTTTAGCTAAAAATTCGGAATCGTAAAAACTCAAAAACCATTCGATTTGGGAGTTGTGCTAATTAATTTTGGACAAAGATCAGCCATGACGTTTCTTCAAAATTAGAAAAAAATCTACGGTATACATATCACGGTCTTATAGGACATACTAAAATTTTACGGCCCTACGGCAAATAGTTTAATTTTTTTTTTAAATCTATCAAGACTCAAAACAATATTATAGTCCAAATGTGTATCAAAAGTTGCTTTTGTAATTTGATAAGTCAAACATTGTCAATTCATTAAAATTTGGAATAATTAACTACACTTTTAGAATATACAAGCACGTGTCTGTGCAATACCATTAAAATAATAAATTACTAAAAATTTAAATCTTAAAGAAATCGTAATATTAAGATTTGGAGGCTAAACTCTATTTTTGAAATAAACAGTTTGCTAATTTCAGCTAAATATCTAAATCTCAATTTTGGTTGATCAAGTCGATTATTACATTTTTCGGCAAGTACTGCTAAAAAAAGCAAGAGTTGGGGTACTGCTAAAAAGAGCAATATAAACATAATACAACGAGCACAAAACAAATTCCTGCGGAAAATATTAATCGCTTCTCGCTACACGTCAATATGGATCCACCATGAAGACACATATTATTCAACCTACAATTCAAGAACATATATCAATGGTTGCCAATAATTATAGGAACAAAATTGACGTCCATCCTAACCAACTAGTATGTCGTGTATACCAGGAAGGCCACCCGACCAGGCTTAACAGAAAAATACCTGGAGATCTAATATAGTTTAATTAACTATAATAATTCGATTTTACTACATTTTATTGTCTTTTTTCCATTTATCTTTAGTTTTTTCTTTTTGTTTATATTAGCTCTAGTAGATACGCCACTGGGGGTATCTACAAATTTGTAAACAATTCATTGTAAACAACTTGTCGGCATTCTCTGCTAAATGTAATTATATTTATATAGATTGCAGAATAAAATTAAAATTAAAAAAAACTTGACTTAAGGCAAAATGCCACTTTCATCTTGTTTAAATTATAATTTGGTTATAAATAAATACACATTAGAAATAAATGGCTATAAATATGAATAATTTGGACTATAAAAATATACTGAAAATAAAAATTTAGTATACTCTATTGAATGACGGTGACGACGTTGACCATAACCTACAGATCAATAAGGGCTGAGTTTCTTAATTGCTTTAGTTATTATTACTTTGTCCATATATATATATATATATATATATATATAATAAAATTGTTTCTTGGGCATCCATCCAGTAATTAAAAAACAGTTTATTTCACTTTTATTTATTTTCGTGCAATTTTGTGTTTTTGTGTTGTTTTTCAAAAGTTTATTTGTATGGTGAGTTTCTTTACATTGTTTATTTTATGGTTGTTTTTCATATATACTTTTCATATACATTGTTTTACTTATTTTTGTCTGTTAATTATGTATTTTTTTATATTGTTTTTAATTTGTAACCCTGAATTATTTAATTGTAGCACTGAAGATGGGTCAAATCCAGACCGAAACGTATGTTCTCTATAAATAAAAACACATTTTTCATTAAAACTGTTTTTTAATTACTGGATGGATGCCCAAGAAACAATTTTATTATATTATTTCACCATCTGAAGAAAAACCTCTCGCTTTATATATATATATATTATATATAAATATTTATATATATATATATATATATATATATATATTTACCATGTGTCTATGTATAATGGTCTACTTAGAAACCTTGGGTTGACGTGGATGCCTGCACGTAACACGATCTCACATAACTCGCTTAGAAGAGAAGATTCTTGCCAACTGCAAATTATCAAGTTACCAGGACCAACGAACGAAGGATCTTCTACTACTCTACTACTGCTGCTG